CCCATAGGGGGCTCCACGGAAGGTTCCAGTGGCACCGCTCGCATGCGTCCTCCACCACCCAGCACAGCCCTTGCTCCTTGCATTTCATCCACCCAGTACAGCGTTTCGCGGCCCCATATGGGTCCCAATGGCACTGCCCGCATGCGTCCGCCACCCAGTACAGCCCTGGCCCCGTTCGTTTCACCCACCCAGTACAGCGTTTCGTAGCCCCAGATAGGGGGCTCCACCGAAGGTCCCAGTGGCACCGCCCGCATGCGTCCGCCACCACCCAACACAGCCCTTGCTCCCTGCGTTTCGCCCACCCAGTACAGCTTTTCGAGGCCCCATAGGGAGCTCCACGGAAGGTCCCAGTGGCACCGCCCGCATTCGTCCGACACCACCCATCACGGCCCTTGCTCGCTGCGTTTCGCCTACCCACTACAGCGTTTCGTGGCCCCATAGGGAGCGCCACCGAAGAAGATATTCACAATTGCGGTACTCACAACTGCATATGGTTGGGTCTTTCGCCAGGCTCATTCCAGAAGAGCGCGTGGGAACACATTGGAAGAACTGGAGGTCTAGTCATATTAAGTTGCAAACGGATTTTGTATGCTGGCACTCTGGTGGAATCAGTTTCAAGCCAACCAATCTCTCGTCGGGGCTACGAAGGACAAGTATATACAACTTCTTCGTCTACAGCGAGAGTCCGAGAGTGTCGCCCGAACGGTATTGTTCTGAAGGACGAGGCAGACCGACCTTCACTTGATCATCGAGGTTTCCCTGTCCATGGCCAGGTCAACACGCCCGTCATATCATTCCGTATTGTGGGATACTTTTGATAATGCGTCAGTTCAAAACGTTTCGCATTGATTAGGTTGTCGATGTAACAAAAAATGCGTCCACATCATTCATCACTCAACGCGGGGTCACACTCATCGCACCAGCCTCTCAGCGAGCCTAGGTTGCAGCGTGCATCCACCATCTTCGTCTGGCAGCGCGTTTGGCGGACTGCACCAATCCTCGATTAATGGCCGCATTCAGTCGCAACCGGCCTCGTTTGGAGCGTCGGCGCAGTGTAATATGTGCATTCGTTCCCAGGGCATCGTGGAGCCAGCTGGCTTCCGGCGCTCGGGCGCCACCGCCGTGCTCTCATAGGGCCCTCCTCCGGGACGATGGTCGGCGTCCTGTCTTGTCATTCGGGAAGACGCAGCCACCACCGCAGCGTGCGGGTGGCGCAGGCAATCGGTGCAGTCGGCGGCGAAGTCCGGATCCTACCCTCGCCGATCGAAGATTCAGGCACCTCGATGGGCGGCAGGAGTACGTTTCGGGACTCGTCGAGCACGCTGCGACGAAATCCGAACCCTACCCCCGCCTGGTGTCACCACCTCAGCAGACGACGTTCCCGACGCCTGCCTCTCCCTCCCCCGGAGGTCTCTTGAGGCCTCGGCAGCCGACGACGGCGAAGACGCCGACGACGACGACGACGACGACGACGGCGGCGGCGGCGGTGGCGGCGTCGTCGGCGGCGGCTGCGGCGGCGGCGGCGGCGGCGACGACGACGACGACGGTAACAACGACGACGTCAAAATCGGAGGGCTCCAAGGGGGTTAGGGCAAAGGGGGCTTGTGCCGACCGTCTGCGTGCGACCACCATCTCCAAGGAGGGGGCAAGCGCAGCAGGGTTTCGGCCCAATATGCCCTCCGCCCTCGACGACGACGACGACGATGACGACAACGATGGCGGCGGCGACGGCGGCGACGACGACGACGGTATTGACAACGACGGTATTGACGACCATGACGACGACGACGACGACGACGACGACGACGACGACGACGGCCGCGGCGGCGGCGGCGACGGCGGCGACGACGACGACGACGACGGCGGTCACGACGACGACGACGACGACGACGACGACGACGACGACGACGACGACGACGACGACGACGACGACGACGACGACCACGACCACGACCACGACCACGACGACGACGACGACGGCGGCGCTGGCGCTGAAGCGCGCCACTCCTAGGGCGGCTGCTGGGGCGGGCGGTGCTGCTTCTGGGGCCGAGTGCGCCAGGAGAAAGCCTCGACCGCCCGAGCCCCGGCCTCTCCTCCATCCATTCAGTATCGCTTCGCCGCCCCACCCCCTCTCCTACGCCTCCTCCTCCTCCTCCTCCTCCTCCTCCTCCTCCTCTTCCTCCTCCTCCTCCTCCTCCTCCTCCTCCCTTTTCCTCCTCCTCCTCCCCCTCCCCCTCCTCCCTCCTCCTCCTCCCTCCTCCTCCTCCTCCTCCTCCTCCTCCTCCTCCTCCTCCTCCTCCTCCTCCTCCTCCTGGTTCTGGTTCTGGTTGAGGCGCACCCAAGTGGGGCGCGTTGGTGCCGAAGCCCCGGGCAAAGGGCAGGCATGAGCAGTCCCGAGTAGGG